ATATATATATATACATATACCATTGAAAATATAATACCTTGCATGACTGTGGCAACTTCCATCCACAACTTCTCTTTCGTACGAATGCCCCTTTCTGCAATTGGAAGCTTAAAGTTCCACAAAGCTGGTCGTTTCCGTATTGCCTCAATAAGACGCTCCTCCAGAAATATTTTCCGTTGCTTCTCATTTATCGGGACATTTTCTTTTGCGAAGCTCTCCTCATCAGAAGCTTGCTGGATCAACTCTGGTTCACTGGACGTCTCAATTATATTCAATTCTTCATCTCCTATCAGGCTTTTTCGAAGTATGCTTCCATCCTCTACGCATACAAAAACATTATAGCACAGGAATTAGAAGTTTCCAACAACAGTTGATGCATAATTTAATACATAAAATTCATTTCACCGTAAAGTACTTACCGCACTGCGGATAAAAATAACGCGTATTCTCGTCAATATAGTACGCGGGGAAAGATCTAAGACACGGGTGAACTGGAATCTCATCTACTCTGCAAATTATTTCACACAGTCCACATGTGTTAACAATTTCTAATTTCTGTAATTAGATGATTTAATAATTATAAATTACAATAGGTTACTTTCAATAAGTTATATACAAAAACGCCATCGTCTCTCTTCCATAAATAAATAAGTACATAAGTAAATAAATAATTACAAATAAGTAAATAATGAATTCATTAATATTATTAATACATGCACTGACCTCGTCGACAAAACTCATTTTTCTCTTTTACATATTCACTTAAATTTAAACGATTTAAACACAATCGTTTTTCATTAAAGATGAGACACTCCGAACTTCAGCGTAAACCACCATGGCTCTCGACTTCTCGAGCTTAGAACATATAGTACTGGAAGGAGAAACAGTCTCTTGAAAGTGAAGGCGAGTAGATAGACAGAGAAAAATAGATTACGATCGTAGTTGATAATAGGTCTGTTCGCGTTGCTTGCACTTTTTGCACTTACCATCTTCGCTTTCTTTCTTTTTAAAGCCGAATATACATCTATCTCACTTTAAGTGCAAATTATTTGGGGATTTCATGCAACGCGAACAGACCTAATG